AAAGCCATTCGGGGGGGGTGGGGGTTAAAAGCCATTCCCTTGACCAGTATGATTTTTTTGGCCATACAGTTGTTCCAGTGATGATAGTAATCCCCACCAAAGCCCACACAAGCAAAAACATCACCAGCACCCCGGGTGGATGGGACTCTTTAACCTTGGATGGCAACTCATCTAAGAGAAGGAAACTCTGAATTCAAACCCGGAGATGGAGTCCCGCAGGCCGATAACATTGGTACAATGAAACATTCCGACGCGACTGGTGCCAGCTTTATCATCCACATGATGTTCCTTTATGTTATCCAGCGGCGTGGAGAGAGGTGATTTGCTGTTGGTAATCGGTTTATTATGCTAGAAGAATAATCTCAGGCCTTGTGGATTGTCGTGCTGCGAAGTCCACACCTTCATATGTGTATTTTATAGATGGGGGGTGGGGTATCATCATTGTCACCTGAAAATGCGGGTGTCCTAGAGGGGGTTCTCAGCATTGTCTCCTAAACATGTGTGTGACATTGGAATTATCCTGACCTTAGCTTCAGCTCATGAGGAGGTTTAAACCAGAGAAAGTTCCTGACCTTAGCTTCAGCTCATGAGGAGGTTTAAACCAGAGAAAGTTCCTGACCTTAGCTTCAGCTCATGAGGAGGTTTAAACCAGAGAAAGTTCCTGACCTTAGCTTCAGCTCATGAGGATGTTTAAACCAGAGAAAGTTCCTGACCTTAGCTTCAGCTCATGAGGATGTTTAAACCAGAGAAAGTTCCTGACCTTAGCTTCAGCTCATGAGGATGTTTAAACCAGAGAAAGTTCCTGACCTTAGCTTCAGCTCATGAGGATGTTTAAACCAGAGAAAGTTCCTGACCTTAGCTTCAGCTCATGAGGATGTTTAAACCAGAGAAAGTTCCCATTCTTTTTTCTTGAATTTTTTCTTTGTTATCCGAACCTAAAAATCTGCATATATAATTGAGCAACAACGGAGATACATATGAAGAGATTTAGAGGATTTTGCAAACTCTTTCTTAAATTTGACAGTAAAATTATTGGCTTTAAAAACCAATGATCTGAACTTTCTAAACTATTTAGAAGTTTGAGTTCCTAGATTATCGATTTACCACACGTCATATAAAACATGACAACTGACTAAGTCCTGTGGCGCTCTGAGAGCAATAACTCTCGCCAACGACTCGATGTGTCTAACACAAGCCCCCACCGCACAAGGTACGTTTGACAGCAGCGATCGACCTGTGCTTGGGCAGCTAGTGAAAGGAAGACCGTCAACTTTGAGTGAAAGAACTTCTACCTGCACAGTCAGAGATTTAATGGCGCTCTTGTAAGTGCATTGGAGTCTACATGATACGTGTCGGAGCGAGATTCATAAATATTCGTCAAGTCGTTTGTCAGGTCAGCTCTACCTAGGGGTTCAAGTCTGTGGATTGTGTTTCCAGACATTCTTTACAAAACTTGGATTAAAATTAAAAGATATTAATGTCTTGAGGGATTTATTGTAAATTTGTGTGTTAAAGCGTGTAGTGTTAGAACATAAGTATTAAATTTGACGGAAATGTTAAACTAGTATTTGATTTTAAGAGTACTTGCATAGTTGTACGCAAACTACATTAAAGTTGGCAAAGCCATCACAGCATGGTAAGGTCTCATCTCACAAAGCTGTCACAGAATGGAGAAATATCACACCATAGAGCTGTCACAGCATGGTAAGATATCCTCTCACAAATTTGTCACAGCATGGTAAGATTATCTCATAGAGTTGTCACAGCACGGTAGATATCATCTCATAGAGCTGTCATAGCATGGTAAGATATCATCTCATAGAGCTATCATACCACGGTAAGATATCATCTCATAGAGCTGTCATAGCATGGTAAGATATCATCTCATAGAGCTGTCATACCACGGTAAGATATCATCTCATAGAGCTTCACAGCACGGTAATATATCATCTCATAGAGCTGTCATACCACGTTAAGATATCTCATGGAGCTGTCACAGCACGTTAAGATATCATCTCACAAATTTGTCACAGCATGGTAAGATATTATGTCACAAAGTTGTGACAGCATGGTAAGATATAATCTCATAGAGCTGTCATAGCATGGTAAGGTCTCAGTGAGATAGAAGATAGAAAGAAGGGTGTTATACAAGTGGCATACATTCACTATACGTATGGAATTATCATGATTGTCGCAGAACAGTCCGTCGAGAAATTTAAGTTGTCAAGTATTATCGAGTCAATAGCACGATGTTATCATAATGTCAGCTGTTGTGACAATAAAGGCATGTTTCAAAACTCCTAGCGTTAGTGAAATCTTTAATTGCGACTAGTCTTGTCTGTCCAATCCTTTAAAAGCCTTCTTCTCTTTACGAGGACATTCAAACAAATACACAAAGTCATTTACAAACGGAAGACTGACTTATCCGCGACTGTAGTGGGGATTTAATCCGATAAGATATCTGACAGGCGGAATCAATAAAATCAAATATATAAGTCTTTTTTAAATAGTTTTTTTTTTTTTTACTTTCACCGGTGGTGTAACTTAGGTAGATGGAACATGTCAGGTAGATGGATCATGTCTGGTAGATGAGATATGTCCGGTAGATGTGATATGTCAGGTAGATGAATCATGTCAGGTAGATGATACATGTCAGGTATATGAGATATGTCAGGTAGATGAGACATGTCAGGTAGATGAGACATGTCAGGTAGATGACACATGACAGGTAGATGAGACATGCCAGGTAGATGAGACATGTCGTTTAGATGAGATATGTCAGGTAGATGAGACATGTTGGGTAGATGAGATATGACAGGTAGATGAGACATGCCAGGTAGATGAGACATGTTGGGTAGATGAGATATGTCAGGTAGATGAGACATGTCAGGTAGATGAGACATGCCAGGTAGATGAGACATGTCAGGTAGATGAGACATGCCAGGTAGATGAGACATGTCGGGTAGATGAGATATGTCGGGTAGATGAGATATGTCAGCTAGATGAGACATGTTGGGTAGATGAGATATGTCAGGTAGATGAGACATGTCGGGTAGATGAGACATGTCAGGTAGATGAGACATGTCAGGTAGATGAGACATGCCAGTTAGATGAGACATGCCAGGTAGATGAGACATGCCCGTTAGATGAGACATCTCAGGTAGATGAGACATGCCAGGTAGATGAGACATGTCAGTTAGATGAGATATGTCAGGTAGATGAGACATGTCGGGTAGATGAGACATGTCAGGTAGATGAGACATGTCAGGTAGATGAGACATGCCAGGTAGATGAGACATGCCCGTTAGATGAGACATGTCGGTTAGATGAGACATGTCAGGTAGATGAGACATGTCAGGTAGATGAGACATGTCACGTAGATAAGATATGTCAGGTAGATGGATTATGTCAGGTAGATGAGACATGTCAGGTAGATCAGACATGTCAGATAGATGAAGGATGTACTGTGATTTCAAAAGCCAGGGCAACATCATTTTTTCATTAAAACTTAGCTATGTATTATCTGCAATTAATTATGATATAGTGTTGGCTAGACTTGGGTGACCAAATCATAAACTGCAAAAAACGGGACACACCTAAGTAGGGTTTGGGGGGGGGATACCCTCCAGCTAAAGAGGGGCCAGGGGGCTTCCGCCGGAAACTGTTTATTGAAATATGCGCATTTTTAACTATTTTGAGACCTTTACCTTAATTTACCTTAACTTTTGTAATTTAATTTAAACTCTGAGGCATATCATAAACGAAAACAATAATTTTACAGTGAATACTTTTTTATTTATACATATTTTACAACATACAACAACACAACAAATTTAATGCAGCCATCACGCAAGCCCACATCACTACTGGCACTGGCTACACAGCTAGCCAAAATATTACTCGAAGTTATATTATAAATTAGGAATTTTTATTGATTGGAAAATGTGTTTGGTTTTATAAACGGGACATTTGGGCGTCCCGAAAGACTTTTTCTGGACACTGGGTACGATCGTGAAAAAACCGTGTTTATCCCGTTTTTACGGGACGTTTGGTCACCCTAGGCTAGGCCCATCTCAAATAGTTACAGTTGTATGGATTTTGGTATTATTGTTTAGTAGTTTAAAATAAATGAAAGAAGCTTTTAGTTTATGCTAATATCTACATGCATTTCACTCAATAACAAACTACTTACATTACATAGCATTTGTGAGACGATATGATTTGTTGTTTAGAAAAACGAACTTTTACAAATTAAAAAAAACACAAAAACCCAACAACAACGCTAATTAAATTGCATCTTGTAACAGAAAAATAGTTCCCTTTTTGGATGGAACCCGCATGTATGACGCCCCTGTTTCTGGACGAGATCGATACTTTTTCTGATAAATATTTTTAAAAAAACATATCGATTAGAAGCTCTACGCGAGCTAACAGATCACTTTTTCTTATCACAAACTAGGGTTAGCCGCATTGGCAATAAAATCGAACCCAAAAATAAAAAAAAAACTGGATAAGAAAAGCAGAAATTTTATGACAGCGCATAAACAGCCGACCTTTGACCCCGGTGTTCAAACGGTATCAATACCGTGACGGGGGGCGAATTTAAATAATTTGCTTTTTTAGTACCTGTCAGTTTTATTCCAAACAGTTTGTTGCCGTTTGTTTCATTTGTATGGGGTGATTGATACGGTTTGAATGGCGTTTGTTGTGCTAAATGGTGTTGACACTGACTTCCCGTTTCTTAACATTTATCTTGCGGCCGTATTGAAATGTAAGAAACACAATAATATTATCTTTAAGTATAAAATATAACTTGCCCTCAAAGCAAAAAGCTAAGTATCATTTTCTAAGCCAACGTAAAGTAAATTTAGTATTTTTCTGTGGTTAAAATGAGATAGTTGTGTAGCTGGTGTGTGGAAATATTTTGGTTTCGTAATATATATCTATCGTATATTTACTACAAACAGGTTGATTCGCGATGACAGACAAAAGTGTTAGGTCAGAGTCAAATAAGATATTAACAAAAAGCATGGCTAAATAAAGATGTACATTTTCATGGCCTTACAACTCTAACACAATGAGCCCAACACGTTCCAAGTCTGCTGCCTCGTACAGGGCGCTCGGAGCTAAGACGCCATCTTGCTCTACCCACAACTCCCTGGAGGATGAATACAACTTTGTCAGGAAGGTCATTGATGCTATGTCGACCTACCCATCGGGGCGCATAGGTCAAGCAGGTAGCATACGATCTCTAAGGCCCTCTACTGGTGCACCAAGTTTGTTCCAACGGCGATTCACTTTACCCGTGCATGGCCAGGACTTCACTACACGACCGCACACCTCAAAAAACTCCACTCTGCATTTGATAGAGGTCGGTGAACTTTTCAACGGCAAGCCCGGAAGTCAGCAAACAAGGAAAATGAGCTCGAAGATCCGAACCTTTGATTATCCCATCGCTTCATGTCTTCACGTCGACCAGCAAGGATACAGATTAGGAAGTCGACGAGTCATCGTCTGCTCCCCGAACTATGACAACATGACGAACAAAACGTTCGTACTTCCGGTCGCTTCGTTTGCCCACTCTCGCCTGCAGCTCACCGGAGACGTCATGAAAATTTATAAATCTCGACAAACTTCCGGAGAAACACGTGACAGAGGAGCGCGTGACAGTCGCAAAGGGGCAATGGTATCCACATCGCATAATTCAAAGGATGTTATGAGGGATTATTCACTTAGGAAAGGACAAGTCTACAACTCCACACAGATGATTGGTAAAACACAATCTGTGGAGGGGCTAAATAAAACTGATGCGGCAAAGCAAATTTTTCCTGAAGATAAAAATGCAGGGACCGCGTTGACAGCGAAGGAATTAGCCAGCAAGCCCAAAACACCAGATTTGAAAAACGGCTTGGTTAAGTCTCGTGAGCCGGTCCCAAAGTTAGCATTGAAAGGGACGAAACACGAATTTAGACTGTCCCCATCACTTCTCGATGATTCCAAAACACAGAGGAATTTCATCGCAAGACCAAAAAGTGCAGTCACCGAATCTGCAAGAGAGAATGACAAAAAGGACAATGCGGTTGCGGACAATGGCATCGAAGGGAAAACGGAAATGTCAAACGGCTCTGGTACATTGACCCTTAGCATCTTTCTGCCAAGAGAAAACGAGGACGCGCGATTGTGCCACAGAAAAGAGTTAATACACAGAGACCCAGAAATTCACATAGGTTCTCGATGCCCGTTTGGGCCAGTTGGTGTCATAGAAGACAGGGCAGCTGGCATCGTGCAAGACAGGTCAGCTGGCATCAGGCAAGACAGTCCTCGTCAAAGTTTGCATGAAAGTGATTTCGTAAAAGAAGAGGAGCAAAATGGAAGTTCAAGGGTTAACGAAACTTTTCAAATGTTCAGCATAGGACACACCACGGAACAAAGCTCTAGTCGTGCGCTCCACTGCGAACTGTTCGGCCCTGAACTATGTGGGGACTGCAGGCTCTGCAAGGAGAGGGAAGATGAGCAGACATTGCAAGAACAGGCTTTCCCAGACATAAGCACAAGTAAGTTTAATGTTACATAGCACTGTCGTATAGTGAGTGAGTTGTTGTTTTGTGTGTGTGTGTGGGGGGGGGTGTTTGTGGCGTTGTTTTTTTTTGGGGGGGGGGTTGGTGGGGGTATTTTAACTGAGAGATTAAAAGGTTAATAAAATATGTTGTGTTGAAAATTGTTAAATTCAAAGAACTATTTGATATTTTTGAGTGTATGATGGAAGATATTCTGATATAATTTTGTAGTATTTTGAATATTTTATGATTGAAGATGGCGTTAATAGAATTTTAATATTTGAAGATGGTCTATCTGGATATTGTATAATTTAAAAATGGAGCAATCCTTATGTGGCCACAATGGAGCCATCCATATATTTGAGAATGAAATAATTCATCAAAATATTCCATTGTCCCTGCCCTTTGCGTCAGTCCTACAATAAAACGTGTTTGACTCTTCCACAGACCCGAGACAGATGGTCGCCGCCCCGTTACTACGCTACGGTCCTCTCTTCCAATCAGATGCCGCAAGACGCTACGCCGAACAACCCACGGTGGCTGAGAGGGACACCACGTGGACAAACGACCGCAACTTGAACTCCGTGGTGACACAAAATGAGATCCGGTCTAGGATCATCGCAGCAGCGTCTACCGCCAAGTCGGAGAACTGAGAACATGGGATGAGAAACGATTTGAATTTTAAAACATATGGAAAGTTAAAACCACCAGATCTGATCGATTTATCTCGGGTGTCATTACTGTTGGGAAAGGGATCCATCAACTAAACTTTGATTGATATTCCCGTACGTACACCAGGGACGTCCTTTGGGTAGGGCAGAGTGGGGTGTTGCCCCTCCCTGAATTATCAGGTTTTATTAAAATTGCTATGTACTTGTGGTGCCTCCAGTAATAAACAATTCAACAATCCGGCCAAGTTTGCACCCCCCCCCCAAGAAAAGCCCTGCAATGACGTCCAGACGTACACTTAATTTCAAAAGTTAAATGCTTTGTGAACTTCCTTTCGTTTCGTCCCTTTTTCAGATTTTCACATATTTTGTTTAGCTTATTTCTTTGTGAATTTCCTACTTATTATTATTATAAAATGTACTCGATAATTTAAAAAAAAACAACACACACTAAAACTAAACAACAACAACTCGATCATTAAAAAATATTACAAGTTCTTTGGCGCTTCAATAAAGAACTGACCAAGTATGAGTGAATTTTGACAAATCCCATAAAATGAGGTCAAGTTGCCCAGCCATCTTTGGTTGAAGTTCTAAAACTCATTCAAGTTCACTTCATCGACACCAAGCTTCCAGCAATGATGTTTATAGTTTTAATTTAATGAATATTCAGATTATCAATCAAATCTGATCAAAATCGTTGCAAATTGTATCTCTGCGATGTAAGACCATGTAAGAAAGGCCTTCACATTGTGCACTATGAGTCCGATGCCCCAAATGGCCACTCCCCAGAATGACGATTTGTAACTAAAACGTGGGAAATAGATTGAAGTTGTGTCTTATAGCGAATATAGCTTTGATATAGATCAGATGTTACTTTTTTTTCAAAAAGGTACATTTTGTGAAAAATAATGTTTACTTTTGTTATTTTTATATGTAAACTTTTAAATTAATTTGTGCATCGCACATTTTTGGTGCTACTCTTTAAAGCTGTGGTGGGCCAACGTTTCTAGCTGTGGGCCAACGTTTCTAGCTGTGGGCAAACGTTTATAGCTGTGAGTCAACGTTTCTAGCTGTGGGCCAACGTTTCTAGCTGTGGGCCAACGTTTCTAGCTGTGGGCCAACGTTTCTAGCTGTGAGCCAACGTTTCTAGATGTGGGCCAACGTTTCTAGCTGTGGTCAAACGTTTTTAGCTGTGGGCCAAGGTTTCTAGCTGTGAGCCAACGTTTCTAGCTGTGGGCCAACGTTTCTAGCTGCGGGCCAACGTTTCTAACGGTGAGCCAACGTTTCTAGCTGTGGGCCAACGTTTCTAGCTGTGGGCCAACGTTTCTAGCTGTGGGCCAACGTTTCTAGCTGTGAGCCAACGTTTGTAGCTGTGGGCCAACGTTTCTAGCTGTGAGCCAACGTTTCTAGCTGTGAGCCAACGTTTCTAGCTGTGAGCCAATGTTTCTAGCTGTGAGCCAAGGTTTCTAGCTGTGAGCCAACGTTTCTAGCTGTGCACAAACGTTTCTAGCTGTGGGCCAACGTTTCTAGCTGTGAGCCAAGGTTTCTAGCTGTGAGCCAACGTTTGTAGCTGTGGGCCAAAGCTCGCACCATCGTTTGGAATGCCTAGCACTTTGTTAAAAAAAAAATTAAAAATAATTAAAATAATCATTAAGAAAAGGAAAAGAGAAAAAAAAATTGAACGCGTAATTTAAATTTTCAATTGCCCATGTCACATATGGGGTTGTCACTACTATAAGGGTTGTCCCTTCTAAATGGGGTTGTCACTAATATATGGGGATGTCACTACTATATAAGGTTGTCACTTCTATATGGGGCTGTCACTACTATATGGGGTTGCCACTAATATACGGGGCTGTCACTTCTATATGGGGTTGTCACTACTATATGGGGTTGTCCCTTCTAAATGGGGTTGTCACTAATATATGGGGATGTCACTACTATATAAGGTTGTCACTTGTATATGGGGCTGTCAATTCTGTATGGGGATGTCACTACTATATGGGGATGTCACTACTATATTGGGATGTCACTACTATAAGGGGATGTCACTACTATATGGGGTTGCCACTTCTATATGGGGATGTCACTATATATGGGGTTGCCACTTCTATATGGGGATGTCACTACTATATGGGGATGTCACTACTATATGGGGATGTCACTACTATATGGCGATGTCACTTCTATATGAGGTTGTCACTACCATATGGGGTTGTTTCAGATGGCACTGCTAGTTGGGTTTCTTTTGCTTTTGTGATGAAAGAGTCAATTCCCTGTAATTCATGTTAACCCCCCTCCCCAACCATTCTCCCCCCCCCCACCCAACCCTTTATGGTTCTCAAGCCTCTATTATCCCTGGCATCCGGCTTGCAGCTACAAAAGTTTGCGTACTCCAGCTTTCAAGACATAAAGGAGCGCAATTGTTTATTATAGCTTAAACTAATTAGCCAGACCAAGATTTGTAATGTATGTAATTTAATTGTGTGGTTGATTTGTGTAAAAAAATTAATACATTTTTATTACTAAAATAATATGTTTCTGTGTTACGCATATCTTATTTTGAGATGTTTTGACAAATCCAATTTCTGACATTTTCATTTGATCCATTGAGTTAAGTCAGATCATTGACAGATACGTTGTTAAATGGGGAATAAAAATTCATATTTATAGCTATAAAAAGCCCGTTGAATATCAACGGCTGTATCGGTATATTATATATTACAATTCCCCATCATCCTTTACCTTAACATCCACCATCCTCTACCATCTCTCAGCCCTAAAACATCCTTACATCTAACATCCTCTACCATCTCTCAGCCCTAAAACAGCTTTACATCTAGCATCCTCTACCATCTCTCAGCCCTAAAACATCTTTACATCTAACATCCTCTACCATCTCTCAGCCCTAAAATAGCCTTACATCTAACATCCTCTGCCATCTCTCAGCCCTAAAACATCCTTACATCTAACATCCTCTACCATCTCTCAGCCCTAAAACATCCTTACATCCTGCATACTCTGCTACGTCCAGCCCTAAAAAACACATTCTTCTCGTCGTTCGCCTCACCTCCCGATCTAACTAAACCATTAACACCATCCACACACACACTCTCTCTCGCTCTCTCTCTCTCTCTCTCTAAACCCCTACACCCCCACTTCACTTACTGGAAACCATTCCTACCCAGATCCAAACTCCCCTCTAATGGACTCTTCCGTTGCCCCCGCATACTCTCTACACTCGTATTTCTTCAATGCAGTTAAATCAAACTTAATGTAGAGAATTTATTCATACATGTTTTAATCTCTGAACTAGTTAACGTTAATCACAAATCTATTTTGTAATCAAAAACTCTTTGGAATGTGTTATGTAACAAACTTAGTGGTTGGCATTTTAAATGTAAAACTAACTTATAACAGAACTCAATATGTTTAGTGAATATATAATAAAAAAATAAATAAATACATTTTGAAACAAAAGATACTGAAGTAATATATACATATATTTTTTTAAATTTCAATGAGTGTTTTAAAAAAAAATCTATTATTGACCCATCAATTGTCCACAATCTTGCCCTCCAATAAAATGTGGTAGCCAAATGTCATGTATTATAAATGTGGTAGCCATATGTCAAGTATTACAAATGTGGTAGCCAAATGTCAAGTTTACAAATGTGGTAGCCAAATGTCATGTTCCTAAAGTGATAGCCACATGATATGTATTCCAAATCTGGTGACCATGTGTCTTGAATTCCAAAGATGTGATGGTCATGTGTCTTGTATTCCAAAGATGTGATGGTCATGTGTCTTGTATTCCAAAGATGTGATGGTCATGTGTCTTGTATTCCAAACATGCGATGGTCATGTGTCTTGTATTCCAAAGATGTGATGGTCATGTGTCTTGCAATGAAAGTTGATTGTTGAATCACGATCAGTCCTTTAGGAATAAAATACACGTACATTTAATTCAAATGAAATTATGTCAATCACATCCAAAGTTTAGGAATAAGTTTTCCTGAGCATATATATGTAATGTTCTTATCAAATGTGATATGTTTTTATCATATATGAAATATAGTAATAACATATATGATATATAGTAATCATATGTGATATGTTTTTGGTATGTGCTATGTTGTTGTCATCATCTATAACATGATTTTGTTATCTGACTTATGATGTTTTTGGTGTGATCATCTGTCGTATGTGACTTGTTGTTGTCATCTAACATTCAGCTGTTTTTGGATTGAAACCATCTGCCTTCTGGCAAGTCCAGCATATTTTAATTATGTCGTGATAACCCTTGTCTGCATGTGCACTCCCCCCCCCAATATTTGACCCTCCACACCACACCTGGCCGCCATCCCTTACAAGACTAAGGTACAAACCGTATGACTTTGTTGAAACTCAAGACGTCCGTTCAAAAGATGTGGTAAGTACTCGTTAAGGGGCAGCTCGTCCACCATGACTACCCTCTCCCCCGACGGTTGGACGCAGACCATCGTCCAGCTGTCTGTGTTGTGAAAGTTGCGAGACTCGAGCAATCGACTCTTCTCCTGGTCCGAGAAAAAAAGCCAAAAAGAGGCAGCATGTTGTTGAAAATGAAATGACGTCATAAAGGAAGTAGCAAAACCACGAGGGTGTAGAGGAGGTTCTGACCGTGACACCCTCACCGTGGTGGGGGTTGGGGGGATGGGGTGGTGACACCAAATAAATCATTGCAAGCTTAAAAGAGATCACTCAAATATGTTTCCGTATAGATCCAGGATTTAAAAATAAAATGAGCAGGTAGCAACCAGAATAGGTCGCTACCAGAACAGGTGTCACCCGACAGAGAGTGGGGGGAGGGGGGACAACCAAGCTGGTTGCAACCAGACAGAGCCGTCTCGTGACTTTTGGAGACCCTTTGCCACTTTCCTGTTCATGCACCTAGCGACCCAGCATTTCAGATATAATTTAGTAAATTTGTTTTTCCACATCACAACTTTAGGCCTCTTAAATAAATGAGCCCCCCCCCCCAAACACACACTTTCAAAGCAAGACAGACATAGCCGTCTCGTGACTTTTGGAGAACCTTTGCCACTTTCCTGTTCATGCACCTAGCGACCCCGCATTTCAGATATAATTTAGTAAATTTGTTTTTCCACATCACAACTTTAGGCCTCTTAAATAAATGAGCCCCCCCCCCCACACACACACTTTCAAAGCAAGCGCAAGGGTCACTGGGCCCACTCGGTGACTCTGCAGATTGCTTCCCTTTCCTGACCCTCTATAAACTATTGGCATGAGTAAAATGTTCTTTATTTTAAAGTATTTCTTCAATCTATCTGTATACCAAGTTGATTGAACATAAAGCAATGAATGGTTTACATATGATTAACAAAGGATCGATACTAGACATAGAATTAAATCGTTTGAATTTTGAACAATTATATGAATATGAACCTGAGCCACCACCCCAAATCAAAACGACTCACCAATTTAGCTGAGACACCACCCAATAAAGTGACCCACTTATTTACCTGAGCCACCATCCAATAAAGTGACCCACTAATTTACCCGAGCCACCACCCAAACAAATGAGCCACCAATTTACTTGAGCCACCCCCCAATAAAATGAGTCCAAATTTACTTGAGCCACCACCCCAAAAAAAAATGAGCCACCAATTTACCTGAGCCAACCCCCCAATAAAATGAGCCACCCCCAATAAAATGAGCCACCCATTTACCCGAGCCCCCCCCCCCCCCC